TACACTCATTTACTGCTTGAGTCTGGTCCAATCCTAACCTCTACCTACTCATATTTGTATTATAGTAGACATAGACACTCTACACAAATCTTGACACAGGCTGTACTATGTATGTGTTTTGGTTTATTTTTGTTAATTATTGTAGATAATAATGTATCATACAAATATTTTAATATAATTAATTTTTGTTATTTTAATAATGAATAGATGTAAGGGAAAATTATTATTATTAAGGAATAATAACTATGTATAGTCTGTAAAACATTACAAATATATATTACCCTTTCAAAACTTGGTAATCCTTACAATACATTTTAAAAAAGGGAGGTCTAATATTATACATTTTATATGTTTAAAAGGGGTATTACCCTTATGTACTTTTATTACATTTATAAACCTTACAGTACCTTATATAATGTTGTACTACTTTATCAGAAATTGAGGTCTGATAATATGCAAATTACTTTTTTTACTTTTTTTACTTTTTTCACACTATTATAATGTAATATAACCTTTTAGACTTTTTCCTGATAATTGTCTGTAAACTCAATACACACTTGTTTGTTCCTTTTTACCTTCACAGATGCCTAGTCCTTAACCTATCTGATTGATACAAACCTCTAGTGTATCTAGTACTAGTCCATATTAATATGTACTAATGTGTTCTAGAGGCATTCTACAGTGTTTCAAAGTATTGTGAACCTACTAGGGGCCAATCTAGTAAGTAGTCTCTGTTTCTACTCAAAAATTGTAACTTTACTCACTAATAATTCCTGAGAGGTACTAGACAACAAGGGAGACCTAGGGTTGATCAGACCCTTCAGTTCCTTAGTGTCCAGCCAGGGGTTTTGATGCTAGGTGGGTACAGTCAAAAATATGTAAGGAAACTTACTGTTCCTTACAAGAGAATTCTAATTACCCTTAGTTCACTCAACTACTAACTAGGATAACCTAGTACTTGAGTAAGGGTCAGGGGAAAAGAATCCCCTTTACCTAGTAATCAATACTGTCTTTTATAGGGTAGTACACATGTAGATACATGAGGAGAAAGTGTAACCAACTATAATGAGAATATATGTGCTTGTGAGTCCTACTGTGTAATAATCTGACCCAATCAGCAATGTAGTAATAATAAAATACAAACCAGTAAATCAAATCCTTACATACACTAACTATACAAGGGTACTGTGATGCTAACAGACAAATGACAGAAGGACACCAATCAATTAACAGATACATATTCCAGCTGGGAAAGCAAACAATATCTTGGTCAAGCAAACAATAGAACCTAGTACTACTATTGACTTATGAAGCAGAGTTGCAAGTACTAGCATACATGACTCAAGAGGCTATTTGGCTCAAACAACTTGCTGAGGAAGTACTGTAGACAGAATTAGCACCCATTACAGTCTATTGCAACAATCAGGGAGTAATACAAACTGTCAAATCTGAGGAGATCACTTTTAATGCTTGAATGAAACACCTCAATTTGTGAAAGGACTTTGTCTGCTGTTACATTCAGAACAACTATGTTAACATACATTATGTTCAAACACAGAACCAACTTGCAGACATCCTTACAAAAGCACTTTATGTCCCTCAAATCAAGCACCTAATAGAACTTATAGGTCTTCAACATTAATGACAGAATATTAGGGCTTGAAGGGGAGTATTTGACACACTGTGTTTTATGTCTCATTTACTAGTATAGCACAATGTATCTAGTATATAAGAGCGTGCATATATGCGCATATATCTAAGTGCCATTCCAAACTCCCTGTTCTAACAATAACAGATGGCGTCAGGTCGTTTTTTTACAACGGCGATTCTAGCACAAGGATCAACTTACCGATTTGCTGCCACTGTACCAAGTCGCGAGACGTATACACCGGAATGCCTAGGAAGGCACTAAATGAACTCGTCACACAGAAGAATTGCTCGCCAACACGCGTGCAGGAGGGATTGGGTGCAAAACCACTGATAACTAGATTATGGTATGGTCTCACTCTTGGATGATCGTTCGGACAAGAATTGCACTCAGAAATGCTCGAAGCAATGATGCGATCTGACAAGGCAAGAACAAGCAAAGTGAATGTAAAACGCAGGAGTTCAGAGACCATGGTGTTGAATGTGCACAGAGGCCTTGAGGATTTTGCGATACAAATCCACTGCAGCTGTCTTCATATAGCTTCAATGAAGACAACCCAGTATGACAAATGATGTCGAAGACTCAGACTAGCATCACGCGGGCATGATTTTCTATGCAAACAGGTTGAGAATATTGAGTCCATCACCGTTGCTTGAAGAGTATGAGCGCTATGGTTTGAAGCGGGCCGTCTGCGTCAAGAGAGGTAAAACTCAAATGTCACGAGTTGAGATGCTTTGTCATTTATTACATAATGCGCATGATATCGTGCACTTGTCTCTGTCGAAAGAATTACTTTCGTGTTTGTCTCCACAATTGTTGTATATTTTAGGTAAAATATTTGATATCCTGAGCTTATATTGAGAGCAAGAAATGTGGCAATTCATAATACATGTCTTCTCCATCTTGTTTCAATGGTAGGGACATGCAACAAGCTGTGAAGTGTACTTTGAGGAAACGAAGGCTGAATCTCACGTTCCAAACTCACGCCCACAGCAATTTACTTGCATATACAACAATAATCTTTGTTAAGGTATTTACAATTGGGAAAAAAATCAAAATACTCCCTGCACTGGATCGTAACTGAAGTCGCTGAAGAAGGCTGGCGTGGACGAGTTGTGTCCATTTCCAGTAGCATACATTCCAACAAGCGTCTATAGGGAACCAAATCAAATGGAAGCCAATCCGTAAATGCAATGATACTTACGCCAGTGAATCCTCCACTAACTTCTCTTGCAGCCCCATATCCAACGGTCGTCCAGTCACTCTCCTTTGTCATTGTAAAATTCCTCAGCTCGACAAAAGAAAAGGCATATGTCGACGCGTTCACTGCTTGGACGCGAAGTCTTAATGTCTCCACATTATCTGCGAGTGGTAACATCCCAGATTGTGAATATACATCGCTCAGACCATCGGCACTCGCATTCGCATCGATCGTCCTCAACTGGATGAACTTCTGCAATCGACTGCTATCTGACGTGTTACGTTCCACGATGACGCCCAAATCGAAATGCTGCATCCTTTGGATAAACAACGTCATTCCCGCTTCTTCGCCTTCCACGGCCGAATCACTCAGGTCTGGTGCGAACTCTAAGGTCGACTCTGCAGTAAACTCCACAGCATCTTGCCGTCGTGAAATGAAGGTGCTCGTGCCAATCCCACCATTCCCAGTGATATTCTCTGCGGAACCCATAATTCTCAGTGTATTCGGATGTCCATCCGGCGAGACGGTGAAACGCGAGAATTCCGGGAGGCGATAGTACACAAACTGACGCGGGAGGTCGGAGAGCGACGCATTTGGAGCGGAATGGAAGGTAATATGCTGAGAGTATCCAACAAGCGGGTCAGTGACATCGTGGTTCGTCGGCTTGAATGGATAAATTGATTAGGAAACAGTTAATTACCATAGCTGATAGATAATCGTACGTGCTGCAAAGGAGGGAGAGGCCCGGACATGTTGATATATGCATGCCCTGGAGTAGCATTGTTGAACACCGGAAATTTGTCTACCAACAAAATTCGATTAAACGATTGGATTTGTAGATTTAGGTGGCGAAGCTAACCTTCTTTCCACACGACGGGTACAAGGACAGTTTTTCGTCCCATTGGGCTGGAGTGCAAGTGATTAGCATCGACTCCTCTAACATCAGTTGGAGCACATTGAGCCCTACAAGTTTACAGTTCCATTCCTAGTCGCAAGCGCGACGGACCACCAGTTGCCGGCACTGTCATTAAACACATCTGCGTGTCCTAGTGTCTGTACTACATTTCGAATTCAATTTGTCAATCCAGATGTCCCTTTCCTTTCTAGTGCAGGCTGGCTTACAATATAACGAGGTATTGGCGTTCGTCATGACTGGATTGTTCGCATAAGAAGTGTATGGACCTGTGACTTTTGGCGCCCGTGCCATTCTGATGAAGAATCGCAATACAAGTTAGCCTAATGGTGCGGACAGCGAAAGAGGAATGCCTACGTAACCATATGACCAAGACCTGTACCACCTTCAGAATGTCAATACTTGTAAGCTTTAGAAATGACTATTTTACGGAGAAAATCCACCTTCAGCAATTAGTAAATAATACCCATCATCTCTCCTATATATATGCGGACCCTCAGGCGCCTGAATAGCGGTACGAATTCGGAATTTGTTCTACGATCAGTTTACTTTCGAATCTACGCACCATTCCTCCAGTACCATTCCAAATCGTTACAGGATCTCTGCTAAGACTTTCACCTGTCGTCACGTCGATTACGAATTGCTGTATTGCAGGGAAGATACGCCAGTAATGAGAACCCTGAACGTATGTCGTTCCATCGTCGTCCCAGAATAGCGACGTATCGTAGCCCTGAAAAGTGAAATGCACTGGGTCTGACCAACCATTCCCGTTGTTCGCAAATATATCTTTTGTTGTGAAGATCAACTGCATGGCAAAAAAAGGTCGTTTGAGTGATGAGTGTAACAGGTGGTTATAACTGGTAAGTACGTTGTCCCAGCGTGCCAACGAGTCTAGCGGTTCGAAGTCTTTCACGAGCGTCGTAGTCACATAGAAAGCTCCTTCATGGTGACGAATAGTGCAAGCCCAGATTCCACCACTTGTAGTATTGATCGTATTCAGGGTTAGAAGTTGCTCCGGCCTAGAAAGAACGTTTCCTGCCATAGACATGGGCTCAGTCATCGTAAGACCGTTGTTCCGAGTGAATAACTCACCAATCTGCTGCCACTGTACCAAATCGCGAGATGTATACACCGGAATACCAGGGAAGGCGCTAAACGAACTTGATACACAGAAGAACTGTTCACCAACTCGCGTGCAAGATGGGTCAGGAGCAAAACCACTGATGATTGGATTATGATACGGTCTTAAACCTGGATGACCAGCGGGTTTGGAATTTAAGTCAGAAATGCTTGAGGAGGTGACTCGACTGGAGGAAACAAGACCCAGCAAAGTGACAGTCAGAGACAGAAGGCTAGAAACCATAGCGTTGAATACACAGACAGGCTCAGAGGCCGGGGTAGCACAATTTCTCCGTCATGAAGTAGCTCAGCAGATTCATATATCTTCAGCGAAGCAGGAATTATGACCGATGATGTCCAAGACAAAACTAACATCACGCGGACGAAATTCGCCCAGCAAAGAACGCGAGAAGGAGATCTCCAACAATCGGCACCGTCGCTTCACGAGAATGAGCGCCATGTCTTCAAGAAACGGGCCGTTAATGACAGTCACGGGTCAAGATGGACGTATGAAATTGACGTGTGAGAGGCAGAAACTGCAGTGAGTAGGGAAGACATCAGGTTGATAGCCGAGCTCGCGTAAGCAAACTTTGACGAAAGGCGAAGGATAATTTCAGTCTGAAAATCAGACACCAAAAAGTGCGATATTTCGCCAACTTAACAATGCAAAGGTAGACTCGAAAATGTCCCAATATCGATTTCGAAAAGATGTATGCTGTGTCAGATCTGATAGCATAAGAGAAAGTTTCCTTAGCATGCAAGTTCCTGAAATTCCTTTACTTCGAAACAACATTAATTCCATTCTGATAATACACTAGCAGATCACAACGACTGTCAATCAATGTTCATACATAAGTCAAATTACAAGAGATACATGTACAACTACGTGTATGTATAGTGTTTCTACAACAAGGCAAGAACAATTGCGCTAAGAAAGGAAGAGGGTGGGAGATCAATTAAGAGTCTGTAGCTTCATCCATTCGGTATCATTTGCATTGAAGTTGACTCCCTTTTTCCTCCACCATACTCTTGCAGCCTCACCGCCGCCAATCGCATCCTCCAGCGCCTCCTCAATGTCACAAATACGGTACTGCACGGGTAAGCCGCTGCGATCCCACCACTCTAGCACCTCCGGTCGGTTGTGACGTGTCGCAAGCGTAAGTGCATCCTGGTCGAAGATCATCTGCAGGCCACTCTCCAACCACCATTGTAAGACTTCAACCTTGCCATGCATACTTGCGTGGTGAATTGCCGTCCGGTCATATTTGAACTCGAGAGAAGAATGTAGCCACCAGGAAAGTACATCGACATGCCCAGCGCTACTCGCCATATCCATTACACGTCCGATCTTTAAAGGCAACCCCGAGTGCTTCCACCATTCGAGAATGTGCACTCGGTTCTTCGCGCTTGCCGACTCGAGAGCCGACTCACTGTATTCGAGCGGTAGTTTTGAGGCGACCCACCAATCCAGTGACGCACGCTCGCCATTACGACAAGCACCGTCAATTGCTTCGGAGACTGATTTAGGAGATGGCTTGGGGAGTATTTGTGCGTCGACCGCGTGCTTCCACCAATTAAGAACACACGTGCGACCGTATTGCGATGCTATGACCGGGATAATGTCGTTTCGGAACCAATATGAAAAGTGCGAACGGTACGAGTGAAGAAGGGCATCGAGGACGTGTACGTAACCGAAGCGAATGGTGAGGATGGCACCAGCACGTGTGGGAGGAGTACGAGCAGGATCAGCAGAGCGTATGAGCGGCACGAATCCAGTAAGCATGGCTTCGTCAGTAACAGATGCGCGAGCCCAGGATAGAGGTCGAGGCAGAGACGTTGGTAGTCCGACTGCTTTGGAGAGCTCCCAGTCGCCTAGTAGGTCGAGAATTTCGACAAGAATTTCCGTAGGAAGATCGGGAAGTCTTCTTGCTTGCTGCTGCCGCGTGCGTACAACACCGTTTATGGGAGACGGAGAAAACTTAGCATGCTTCACGGAGCAAGCCGATGGATGTGAATCAGGTAAATGGTACGTTTGTAGGTCAAATTGAGTGAGCCGAGATACGAGCTCATCGTCCGAACCATTCGTCGGCAGAGATCGCATTGTCAAGAAGAGCACAAGTTGGTTGTGAGAGAAGCGCGAGTATGCATCGAGGACGGCGCTTGCATGGGGACTCCATGGCATCAAATGTAGCTTGGATAGTTGCGAGACGTGACTTGCAACTGTGCTCGTCGTCGTCGACATGAAAGTTGAGCACGATGAGCGAATTCGGTAACTGGCTTTTACCTCTGAGGCGTGGGAATTTCTACTTCCGTTTCAGTGACTTCGCTCTTGTCTTTATCCGTCCCATCTTCCATTCAGTATGGAAATTAGGGACAATTTATGTAAAAACTATGCTTGTCTCGGGCCTTTCTCGCTTCGGAACAGGCATGAAGTGATAAAGCGCTTGATCTGACAGGAGTATATCTTGACAGATAGTGACTAGTAAATTGCTTACTCCACAAGTTCGTCGTGGATTTCATTCAGATGTCCGACTATCTCATTGAACCACTACTTTCGTCAACTCCAGTCTCAGTAGCGAAACTGTACCCTTAGATGCTAGATGAGTGAGTCTGAATGTGTTCATCGCAAATTGACATTTTCCAGACCAGAAACACAGGACAAGCTGATGAGTTGTGGATTCCATCTGCCTTCAGTGATAATCAATTCGCGAAGCCAGTACTCCCACCAGAAGGCAAGTTCAAGTTGTCGAAAGGGCAAGAAAAGCATACTATTCCCGCCACGATACAAACCTTCTTGGAAGTTCGCTCGGACTTGAATCTTGGGGGGAAAATAAAAGAAATAAATATCCTGGAACAGAGTGCAGGAGGTTATAGCGATGTCTACACCGGATTCTGCACTGTCGGGCAAGGGAGAGAAGTTGCGGTGAAGAAACTCCGTGCGCACGTTTTAAGTAATAAGAATTTTGAAAAGGTGTGTTTCGCTCCCGCGTTCATCAATATTATCAGTAGCTCTAGTCAGTGTTTGTTAATCTTCAGTCCCTCTTCCTGCAGAGCCTTGTGAAAGAAATGTATATTTGGTCGAAACTCGAGCATCCGAATATTCTTCGATTTGAAGGCTTCTTCCTCGGAGATGATAGCTATCCTCATTTAGTATCCAGGTGGATGGAAGATGGGACCGTCCTTGACTATATCAGAAGGCATCCAGGAACAGACTTGCTGCACATAGTAAGCAACTTGCGACTCCATTCAATCCTTGCCTCTTATTTATGAGTAACAGGCCCTTGGTATCGCCGAAGGTTTGAACTATCTTCATTTGAAAGGAATTATCCATTCGGACATTAAACCGGTGCGTACCTTTTCATTATTACATCGCTGACTCGGATATGCTAGACACAAGGACGTATTATCCAGGCCAACATTTTGATGTCTGGCTCACGCGTACCTCTTCTATGCGACTTTGGTCAGTCTCGTAATCTGGGAGGGTTAACGACCTTTGCATTCAGCGTATCTGCAAGCGGCGAGTCAAAGGGCACAATCTCATTTACGTCACCCGAGTTGCTTGACGGTACTGATCTCAAGCCCACTGAAAAGTCAGACGTGTGGGCATTTGGAATGACCATCTGGGTAAATCGACTCACACAAATACGCGAATGTGCTGACCGTTATTGTTCAGTGCCTCTTGACGCTCATGATACCATACGCTAAATACCAGATGCCAGTTCAAACTATTTTTGCCATTATACGAGGCGAAGTGCCCTCTGCTCCAGCGAATCTGGGGCACGGTCCGCTCAGGACCACGTTCTATGGACTGTGTGCGAGAATTGCTGGTACAAATCCGACCGTCGGCCAAGAATGCCGGCTATTACTGCCACATTAACTCGTATGCATGATAAACTTAGATCAATACCAGACCCTTCCCTGGCGCCAAAATTCAAGGATATTATCTCTGAAACTCAACGGTCATTACGTTCACCGAGTCTTCCGAAAATTCCAACGGTCTCTGAAATGAAGGACCTGATTCGCGACGATCCGGGAGGCGACTTTTTACGCATGTTTGTGGAGGACGGAGTGAACTGGAACGGAGAACTTACAGCCGTACTCAAATCAAATACTCCTCCATCATTCGAGAAAGATGGAACTCCCGTATACTTCGCCTCTGCATCTTACCTGCAAACTACTACACCAGGAAAGTTCTCTCCTTCACAGCAGAAACCATTTCTCGTTCCGTGTGATAACCGGGAAAACAAAATAAAGCATGGCAGAACGCTCTCGGTCCTTGTTTTCGTACTGATCTGATGGAGCTCGTTCCAACTTCGGGCGGAATGCTTCCTGAAGGAAGGACACCTGTTCTCGGAGGGACAGAAGGTGATTATCGAGGGAATCTGTATCATGCTATCGCACCCATTCCAGGCTCAGGGGTGAAGGTACCAGGGAAGACGGCTCCCCATCTTGTATGTAGTTCCTATCAAAAGAAAAGACTTCTCAGAAAGCACTAATAAATGCGTTGCTTTACTAAGGCCTGTGCAAGCATTGGGTATGGTGGGGCTGAAGTGTGGGTCTCGGATGGTTATGAAATTCTGTGCGTGCTTTCAAGTATTCACCTCCTGGTTTAATATGAACTTCTCTGCTGTTAGCTGTTGGAAGACATAATGCTGTACAAGGAGAGGGCAGCCCCCTTTTATTTGTATGCAAGGTACAACTATGATATTTTGTACACATTTTTCTCTCAGACATAGCTTACTGGATAAGGTTAGCACATATATAAATGCCAGAAGGCCTAAACTGTTGTTTCATTTAGATAGAATTTAAGATATGATTGCATGACATCTCTTGCATTTCTCGTACATGTAGTCTGTGACTCTGTCGAAGATCTATCGCTTATTTTTGGAGTTTTCTTTGCGGCGCTGCTTACACATCACTGCAACACAAGTACAAATAAGGCTAAATATGTGACTCGGCCTAGTCACGATAATAATGCTGCAACCACTACCACTTTGCTCTTGTCTCTAACCACAATCATCATTCCACTGCGCAATGACTACCGGCAGAATTCTCGTTGACTATAATATTTCTCGCCCTAGAACCACGCATGCAATGAAGACCAAGTCTACCAAGAACGCGAGGTCGCACAGAGCAGGCCGTCGAGCACATGCACCGCACGCAGGCCGGCCCAGTAAACAGAGTTTCCAGAACAGACGACGCGTACGCTACGACGCACTCCGAGCACATCGTGAACGGCTCGCTCAGAGTACTCAGGACACGTTTCATACGGTTCTTACCACCCATGGATACTACGAGGACGTGCTTACTGACTCTGACGACGACACAGACGTAGAATCGAGTGACGGGAAGTCACCAGCGGCAAGACAAGCACCGTACCACGATCTTACAGAACGGATCATCGAGACGAGGGCTGGTACCTCGTTCTATCCCCACTATTCTCCCCTGCTGGCAGGTTGGGAGAAGGGGCCATCTTTGTCAGTTCGAGACGTGCCTCCGGGTACTTCCGATATTTCTCCTACCACTCAGGAGCCGTCCACGTCCTTACCGTCCACATCCACGTATACATTCACCACTCAATTCGAATTCACGACATCATCCGCACTCGAAGCAGCGCGAAAGGCAGTGCAATCGTCGCCATCAATCCTGCGTGGTGAATATAGCCTGGGCGTCCTCAACCCTGCCTCATCGAAACGGCCAGGCGGGGCTAGCCTAAATGGTGGAATGACGCTTGAGGAATGCCTTGTGCGTCATACTACCCTTTTTGATTCTTTACAGAATTCCACTGCAGGTGCACAATTCTACGCGGAGCACCGCAAGACAACTGATGGTTCCGGGCTTCATGACCACGCAATGCTGTACAGTCCGAAGGTTACCGTTATCAAGGACAATCGTGGACGGCGGATCACGCCCTATTCTATCAACGTCATTTCGAGTGTTCCAGTACATGCAGGTACCGTCCGAGCGAAATTTAACATTGACGACACCGAATTCAAGGACGGGATCCGTACTGTAATGCACGAGCGTATGGCTCGTATTCTACGTCTATTCGAGGAACGAGGCAATCGGATATTGATTCTTTGTGCCTTTGGGGTCGGTCAGTCATGTAACTCTCCTGATATGATAGGAGAAATTTGGGCTGATCTACTGCGCTCGAGAGGCGCGAAGTTCCAGGGCGTGTTTGACAAGGTCGTATTCGCGCTGCCTGGGAAGCACCGTGAAGCATTTGAGAAGGCTTTCAATGAACGAGTATTGGAGACTGAGATCATTAACGAATTGAGCAGTGAAGATGAGTAACTTTTGTATCTGTCAACTAGTCTGGATTCGGATTCGGATTTGGACGTCGTATTCTGGATTCATTTCGTGTATTTTCGTCGTTTATCTTTCGTCTCTTCCGAATTTTCATTTGTATCGTTTACCTTAGCTGTTCGACTTCGTAACTTATCGCGTCCCGTTGTTAACTGTACACTCTTAACATTTGTTGTTGAATATACGGTTAGAAGTTTTTGTTGTAATCAATCCTAGGTGTCTAAGTAAGACCAGTCTCGTTCAGTTCTTAACAAGTTTAACAAATATTCAATTTTCACTCCAAAGAATGCAAAACACCTTGCTCTGGTTCTACACAGTCCAACATCCTCAATATCGTCTGATTCATACATCCAATATAAAACCAGAGATACTGTGCCCGCTTCTCCTTACCTTACTAGTACTTCACCTATCTCATCATGCTTTGCTGTGCATTTCCGAACCTGATACACTTCTGCTTCTAATGTTTGTTCTTAAACTTCTAGTCTCAGACCCACAACACGGGAAGTTCAGTGTGAAGGCCTAATGTATGATTGAATTGACATTGACATAAGTATAGAAGTATCCATTAGTGTAGTGTAGTAATGTAGTGTCCCTATGGTGCAGTTTGGTCCAGAGACCTGTCCCCCCACCTGATTTCTTTGTATTAACACTACTGTCAAGTGGACAAGAAGAGAAGACTCTATTATAATGAGTAAGGGAAGTTTGGTTGCTCAGAGTAAGGCGGAACGGACCGAGCACTAAAGCCTCAAGGACTTATTGAGTTTACTCATTTGTGGAGAGAGAGTTTCACTTTCAATCTGAGCTCACCTGTTTTCAATATTGAAATTCTACTCAGCATGCATTTGTGGGATAGGGAATCTGGGTAATCCAAGCAGGGTAAGACAAAAAACCTCTTACTCATACTGTATTATATATATTTATATATATTTCCTGGATAATCTACTAATCACTCCCTCACACACAACACACTCAAAGATTGAAAGAACTACATACAGAGAACATGTAATGTATTTGCATTAGGTAGTGGGTGTTCTGTATCAGTTAAATTAAGTTCACTGCCTAGTTTTTCAGCTCATCAAGTCTAACCAATCTATAAATACACTGTCAGAAAGGCAAAAGGAAACGAGAATACCTTGTGAGAAAACAGTAAAAAAAAAGGCATACTAAAGAACGAACCAACAACCAGAAGAAGACAAGGGTGCGGACTCTGAGGAGATAAGAACGCTGTAAGAGGTTCGGAGGGAGTATCCGAGTATGCGGAGGTAGGGGTAGTGGCCACTGTGCCATGTGTTGTGTGAAGGCAACACAGAGCAGAAAGACAAGGAAAAAGGTTGGAAAGAAGAGCGACAAGGCAGGAGTGAGAGGCAGAATGGAAGAGTGGCTAAGTTACGCCACCATCACTTTGTCTTCGTCACTTTATATTTCCGTTTGTTCATCCATCCATCAATTCAGATTGCGTACCACGAATTGACTTTTGGTGTCCCACTTACACTACTAAGCGCTTATTCGGACCGGACAACGGATTCTAGATGAAGGCGAGGATGAATGTAGAATGTAGAATGTAGAACGTTCTTCTACAGCAGGGTTGACAAGATAAGTAGGTAGGTAGGCGTACATGCAAAGAAACAAATATAATGTCTCTCAAATCTCAGAAATTTGGACCAGAACAAAGAGGGAAACGCAATAGTAAGATGGAATAAAAACGATAACTTGACTCGGTGTAGTTCTTCTTGTAGGTGAGGTGTCGCAGGCGCGGAGCACAGGAACAGGAACAACAATCGAAGAAAAGAAAAAACTAGGGAAAGAATCGAGGAACAGGAAACGAGACAAGAGTGAGAAAAGTTGACCAAACCAGACGAGCGAAAGAACGTATGAAGAACATTGGGATTAGAGGGGAAGGGAGAACGGCATTGAGGTGAGGGGAAGAACGGAAGCTACTGCAGATACCAATGAGAGGGCGACGGGGAGGTGAAGTTGTGAACGCGGCGTCTAGTTGCCAAATCATAAGTATATGCGCCGATAGGATGACGGACCGAGTTGTTCTTCATTTCACTCTAAGCTATTCCACTTCGTGCAAATGCCTAATTCACACACAACACGAATTCAGCATATGACCACAACAATACTCAACAAGAAAGAAAGACAGAAACTTACTGTCCCAAAACCTTATTCATCCTAAACATATCAATCTTATCCGCATTGAAAACCGGTCTCAAACGATCATCACATAAAATTTCTCGTCGATTAGAGGGATTTTGAAGGTCATTCCCCTTGATGTACTCCCAGAGTTGTTTGACCACCTGAGGTCGGGATAATCGGTCCACTTCGAGAAGAGCGGATAACGGTGCGCTGTGCCGAAGGGAGTGTAAAATAAGGAATTCAGTTTGGTTTTAGTTTGGTTCGGCGGAGAAAGAGAATAAAGAATAGAATAGGCTATTAAGGTGGAACGGATAAAGAGAGGAGGGGGTGTAAAGAGGGGAAGAGCTGCTGGTAGAACTAACCTTAGGATGAATTCCTTACCGAACCCACCCTTTGCGCGTCCGCTCCCGCCGCCTACCTCACCGCCGCCGGAGCTCTTTCGAGTAGTCTTCCGCCGTTTATTGGTCTTCGACATACGTCGTTGCCCACCGTCGGAATCACCATAGTCGTCATTATCAGAGTCGTTGTCTGAGTCACTTGCACCTCTACCTCGTCTACCACCTCCACCTCCACCTCCACCTCCACCTCCACCTCCACCTCCACCTCCACCTCCACCTCCACCTCCACCTCCGCCAATACCGCCGCCTCCATCGGAGTCATCGACGTAATCAGCGCTCTTCTTGCTGCGCTTCGGTGTCCGGCTCCCGCCCTTTTTGTTGTTATTCTTGGCTTTGGATTTTGGAGGAGCTTTACCCGAGCGTGAGCTACGGGAGGAGCGGCCGTTGAGCTCGGTGGATAGTTGGCGTGCGAGTTCCTCGTCTGTGAGTTCGCGTTTTGTTTTTTTCTTCTGGGAGGATGATTTTCGGGGAGGTGTCGACGGACCAGCCTCCTCCTCGTCCACGAAGTCACCAGTCCCACTTTGACTCTGCGTGCCTTCATGGTCGTCGGAGTACGTCGCGCCGTTCGCATACCCATACTCGTCGTCTTCTGCCACACCCTCTTCCTCTTTTGGCTGCACGTCAGCTGTCTGTTGAGAAGACGGAGGAGGAAGGACAAGCGACGCGCTGACTTGCTCAAACACGCCTGCAATAAGCGCGTTCAATGCCTTTTTGTTCTGTTTAACCCATCCTTCGTCGACTGCACCGTCCGCGAGGAGTCTCGTGCGGACGTCCTTGGCGGAGATTGTGTTGAAGCGCTCGAGGGGGGTGGATTGGAGGATTGCGCGGATGCGTGTTTCAAGAACACCAAGGCTGGACATGACGCGCGGAGTGTACGTGCGACACGACACGGAAAAGCTCAGTGTACCCAGAGGGTGATGAGCGTAGTGCGCGGGCGACGCTGACTACGAGCAGAGGCCGTTGTTGAGGCTGTGACCGTCGGTGACAGCGGAGGAGTGATATGTCGTTCGGGACAAATTAGCACGACACCACCGATAGAGCAGCACGCCAACAACAGCAACGCCTCCGTCTACCTGCCAAATCGAGCATCTTGCGCTCGGTACGGCCGGCTGCCTCCGATACCCTTTGCACGTGACGCTGACACGCCCCTTTCCCAGAACAGGACGAGGATCCAATACACATTGTGACACCGAATATATTCCATTTATTCCGTCATTTCCGTCGCTTTTTACCCAGCCAGACAAAAATGGCCCCGACGCACGCACACAATGGGCCCTGGCCCTACTGGCTACTCAGTGGCTGGCTGATGCAGGGGACATGCTCACATCACGTGATGGCTATTTTTCGTATGAGTCAAAAGCACCCAGGCGTTTCGAGGCTCATCGATGAGCAGCGGCAGCTAGTAGGGTAGCAGAACTGAGTGACGCGCTCCTCCGTTTCGCGTAGCTCAGCGACAAAAGCCGTCGAAAGCCGCGATTAAGCCATCAGCGGCGGCTCTTTTCTCTCTCTCTTCCCCACACATCTTTCTTTCTTTCTCTCTCGCTTTCCCCATCCACCACCATCATGTCCGCTCACAAAGTCCTAATTTGCGGTTAGTTCCTCGCCCGTCTTTTCTGAACGCGCTGTTTCTGATCGGCCAATGTGTATTACTGTTCTTTGTAGGTGGCATCGTCTGGGCCCACGATGAAACAAAGGAGCTCTTGGGTAGCATATCCCAAGTCGTCGTAAGTATTCCTCCATTCTCTCCATCGCAAAAAAAAAAATCCGTAAAGAAAAAGCAAAGAATAACAGCTGACTGTATGCCTTATGCTTTTTTTGCCTTTATGTATGCGCCCCGATAAAAAGGAAATGGATTCGTCGTCGCGCCAGGATTTCCTCGACGGGTTCAAGCAGCCCGGCGGAAAGTACGCAGGCACGGTGGGCATCTACCGACACAACGAGTCATCGAAGCACATCGGCGTCTTCGATGCGGAGCTGATCAACGCGCTTCCGGATTCCGTCGCCTGGATTGCGCATAATGGCGCGGGGTACGACCAGATCGACGTTAATGCGTGTAAAGCGAAAGGTATGGAATCATTGCTACTACATTAGTACATATATGCGTATATGTTTTCAAATCGGCTCATCGATTTCTTCTTTGAATTGAAGGGATCGTCGTATCAAACACACCAGGTGCAGTCGATGACGCAACAGCCACAACCGCACTCTACCTCATCATCTCCTCGCTTCGCCAATTCGCGCACGCGGAACAAAACATCCGCGCGGGCCGCTGGAAGTCCGGTCTCTCCCCCGCTCACGATCCCTCTTCCAAGACACTCTCCATCCTCGGTTTAGGTGGGATCGGAATCAGACTCGTCGAGCTCGTTCGTCCCTTCGGGATGCGTATCTTATATCACTCGCGCGGTCCTAACCCCAATGCGCCGAATGAGTGTGAGTACTTTAGTGAGGAAAGGTTGGATGAGATGTTGGGACAGACCGATATTTTGAGCGTGCATGTTCCATTGAGGAAGGAGACGGAGGGGCTTGTGGGAGAGAAGGTGATTAGGGCTTTGAAACCCGGTGCTGTGCTTGTGAATACTGCACGTGGAAGGGTTGTTGATGAGGAAGCGATGATAAGGGCGCTTGAGGATGGGCATGTACGTCCTTTCCTCCCCCTTCGTTATCTTCCCATTATCAATCCTTTACTGACATAAAATACAACCACTTGACTGTAACTATAGCTTTCCGCAATAGGCCTAGACGTCTACCCAGACGAACCACACGTCAACCCCAAACTCTTCACCTTCCCTCAAGCTACCCTCCTCCCACACATGGGCACCGAAACACAAGAGTCGCAACGCAAGATGGAGGTACGCGCGTTGATGAATTTGCGTGGGTACCTAACGAAAGGTGCTGGGGAGGATGTTGTTCCTGAGTTGGTTGGGATGAAGGCTAAGCCGTTGCCGAAATAGAGGAGCTCGCATTAATGGTAATTGGGTGTACGTATGATACGTACGTCTGAAGGCCACTCGGTGTCTGTGCCTCTTTCTCCCGTTTGCTTTGCTTAATTCGAGGAGAATTGACTTGACTCGTCGCTTTGCCTTTTTCCTGAATATATAATAATTGTTTCTGTCTGCGCGCATAGAATTTACTTCCCTACTCTTGGTTTTCTGGAGCCATGAACTTCTCGTTTTCCGTCTAAATTTTCTGTGACTCTGAATGACAAGCTACTGACTGCTATGTCGTATACTCATTTCCTTTGTTGTCGTCGTGTTCTGGTGTTGTGTTTTCTTTCTTGGATATAGTTCTGGTCTCCTTTGGTTTTCTTTTAATATTCTGTTGTATATGTTCCTCCTTTTTTTTTCTTTTCCTCCAAGACTCCGATCCTGATCCTAATTATTTCCGAGATAATCCAAATCTTCGGATCAATCAATCTATATACGTACGTATCTCTCTCTCAAATCTATCATCCTATCTATATCTCATTCATATCTTGTTTATATATACATACAAGACGAACCACGAACCTTGAATCCTCTCCACTCGTTTTGCTTCTCTTTTCTATATAAGTTCCAACTTCTACTTGCTGGTTCTGTTTTCCCTCTCTGTCTTTGTCGTGTAACCGTGCGGGCACGGAACATTGACTAATAATAATACGTATCTATCTTTATATCTGTGTCGAAGTGGATTGGGATTGAGTGTTGGGTCGATGAGTTGATGTGGTGTTTCGCTCATAGATGATTATTCGTCTAGGAGGGGAGATAATATTGTTAATTAAAATTGTATTAAGGAACAAGTGTATAATCGAGTCAGTGTCTATAAAAGTTGGATAGCTAGTATTCACATTTTTTTAGAAAAAGAACATTAAAATCTATTTAACAGATGCACAATAAGTGATCGTGATTTTTTCTAAACACTCCACCTTCCTAACCCTTCTTCGATTCTCTACCAGTTACTCCTGTCTGATTTATCAAGTCCTGGATTGCCTATAATGAAGAGTACATATCTAATAAAGAAAAGCTTGCTCGATTGTATTCCATAACCATTAACCATTAACCATTTTTGACCTGTTTCTTCACTTCATTAATAACAATATCCTTATTCCTTCTCTATAATAGCACGAGCAGTCCGATTCCGAACTCCTTTCAAGAAAGTCATTGCGTTCGTCCCGCCTGTCCCCTTCTCTGCAGAGCTCGCTGCTTCCTCCACCGAAGGGTGCGAAGTTGCACTGACGCCAGCAACGGTAGCAGACACCTCGGCCCTCTTTGCAGGGTTAACAGATCGCTCTCCTGCTTCAACACGTCTAGACGGACCTACAATGTACATTGCAACGATCCGTAAGTGTGCATCACGGAATGTACGTAACGCTTTAACAGCAGCATTGTAGGCAGCAAGGAGTTCTGGGTTACGTCCCACTATTGTTTCGGCTTCAACAAGTGCTCGGAGAGGTCGTGGGTTTGCTGCGAGATGACGGAGGAAGGCGCGGTGGTGGCGGGGCATGTAGTTCTGCATGCGAGCTAGGAAGGAGTCACGGTTCTTCCCCTTCCCGTCATGAGCTTGCTCCGAGTCTGTGTCTGTACCGGAAGGAGAGGCGCTACCGACTCCGACGAAAATATCGATGGCGTGAATAAGACTGCTCTGCCCCGCACTGGGTCCATGTAGGTCGTACTCCGTCGGATGCGTCAAATGCTCGTATCCTTCATCACCAACACCTTCGAATACCCACTTACGTCCACCATGCATTGAGTCCTGTCCCTTGAACCATGGTCTCACCTCGTGATAGAATACCTCTGGATCGCATTCATCCCGCATAGTCATTAATATCTCGGTCAAACCGTCTATAACTCGAGCGAGGTGTTGCAGATATCGAATAATACGTCGAAGTGCAAGGTCATCATGAACGAAAGCTTCGTCCATGATTAACGACATAAGCGACAGTGCAACAGCGCCTCGAAGTTCGATATATGCAGGAACGAGGTAGAAGTGTTCCTCCGACCGAGAAGACGAGAACGTCGTCTGAATGGCGATGTTGTGCATCGTCGGTAGCGGAGATTGACCGTCTGGGACATCTTTGATCTTCCAATTGTACAAGACATCATCGGAATACGTGAGGATTGGTGGGAGAGCCATGTAACTTGAGACTTCGAGGAGGGGAAGTGAAATTGGTCGGGGTATGATAATTGGGGCAGTGGAAGGAAGCGTATTGATATAGAAATGCATAATCCAAGCCAATACAAGGTGTGCACGTCTCAGCAATGTTTCTGAAGCCTTCAGTTCTGTTGCTGAAAGTACGGGAAGCTACTGCGACATTAGTTGCTGAAACAAGCAGCAGTTAGGCTATATGCATACCTCTCTTACTCGTTCTCGCCAATCCTCATTCACAAGCTCGTCTTCAGTTGTCAGGTCTCTTGCACTACCGAGCTTCAGCCCTTTCGCAATTGCCTCTTCAAGCGCCTCCTCCCAAGCTGCCCATTGCTCAGGAAGCCGTGTAAGGGGTTGCTGCGGGGGCATAAAGCCCGTCCGCGCATCAACGTCGAAATCGTGCGCCGCGACTGTCGTTGTGTCTGGAACTCCAGTAGGCGGTCCGGAAGCAGCGTCCGGACGTGGCAACGACAGGAAGTGCTGGGGCAGTGACGGCGATGACATCCTTTATTTTGTACAGTATATCCACCAGTACGGTTATTCTGTCAGCCCAGACCGGTCAGCCTTGTCAAATTCGTTTTTGACTTTTGAGGGGAAAAGCACACTTGCTGACGCAATTTCTCGGGCGGACCTTCGAGGTCGCAAGAGCAGCGAAACGAAATGGCGGACAACCAATTAAATCCCGGTCCCCTCAAGCAAACGAGTGGCGATCTTGCAATGTGCCAGGTGAAACAGTGCAATGTAGGTGGGATCGTGAGACGAAACCTGGGGGAAATTGAGATAGAGGCATTTGGTAAACAGATTTTAAGGAGCCTTCGGGCCATCGATTACACACCATCGGGTGTGCTCGGCTTTCGGTCCAGCCAATCCACGTCGGACCTCGAGATTCTGGTGACCAAAAAGCGATTGTCAGCTAAATGCACTCTTTACAAATGGTGTAGCGGACGTGACTCGATTCGAGGAATGTAGAGTTTATTCGACATGATTAGTTTTAGAGAGGTGCATTGGTTGACGTCAAAGATCCAAGTTAAGCTGGTAAAGAGTTCTAGCCGGCCGGTCCGAGTAGTACTAGGCCATTCAATGCGAAGGTCTATTTGAGCTTCCTGACAGTTCCTGAGCACGTCTACTTTCATCATACTGATAGGATAGAACACGATTACAAAGTGTGAGGTTCAGGTAATGGCGATTACTGAGGTCTAGGTCGCCGGATTTCGCGTCACCGTACTTATCGATCTTGTGACGAGGTACAGTCATTAACCGTTCCTTTGAACACCCCCCCTTAACTCTACAAAAACTTACTGTAAAATCTCAAAAAAATATAATTACTTAGAGCTATACTTTTACTTTAAGTATATGAATTTTGAAGCAAAAATATTCAGTACTTATTTGTACAGAAAATCAAAACCAGTAAAAATGAGTGAATTCAAATTATATGACTGTAAACAACTTTTTTTTGAGATGCTTCTGCTCAATAATTCAAATTTAAAACTACATATTTGTATTCTTCTGTATCATAGCTACAATTTTTATCTTTTATTATGGATATTGAGTGTGTATTTAAATTAATATTGAACAATTTGTTGAGACTACTCTAAAAGCGTGACAGCTGAAAAATGATCAGCATGAATGACCTCATTACTCAAAACACTAGGTTAATGAATTATGACACATTGGTAAAGCTATAGTCTGTTATACTAAATACACTTTTTTTCCTCTTGTTTCCTCATTCTCTAACAACTCTACATTCATGACAAAGTCTGCTAAATCTAAATCACTACAAAGAAGAGAAGGAAAAGAAAAAAAAGAAAAAAATATTGTTACTACTATGGAAATGTATCAGGCCAAGCTAGAACAGCTACTGGACAAGCATCAAGGGCTCTGAAAAATTGCTGACATGTTTGAAGGAGTGACAATGGGTACATTAAGAAATAGGGTGGCTGGAAAAAAGTCTATTTTGGAGTTTAATACTTTAAAGACAAAGCTAAGTAAGGAGGATGAAATAGTACTTACTCAACTAATACAGATTTCTTCTAACCAAGGCTGCCCCTTCACTTGCAATAATGTTCAACATACAGCAAACTGTTTGCTTGAGGCACAAAATGGACCTGAGTACTTAGAGTGTGGACCTACATTTGTTCAGCAATTCCTTGAGTGTTACTATAATGAATTGAAGACTTACTAGAGTTCTCCCCTGAATATTCAACAAGCAAACAGATTGAACCCTACAACTGTTCATAAGTGGTTTAACATTGTAGAGGACAAAATTTTAAAGAAAGGAGTCTTACCTGAGAACATATTTAGAATGGATGAGTCTGGGTTTCCTCTAGCTAATAATAGTATAAGGTGTGTTATTAGAGCTAGAGGGAAAAGGATTCAGTACAAGCAAGGAGGGGCAAATAGAGAGACTGTAACTACTATCATTACAATCTGTACTAATAGCACTTACCTGAAGCCAGTTATCATCTTCAAAGGTCAGAATATCTAGTCTAAATGAACAGAAAATAATGTTATAAATACTAGGTAAGTAAACATACTTTCTAAAAGAAAGAGACTAACTTGCCTAATAGGTTTACTTGCTCTCCTAATGGCTGGACTGACAGTGAAATTGCTCTAGACTGGTTCCAGAATCAGTTTGAGTCAAGTACAAGAGAGTAGGCAAATGGACATACTTGAGTTCTTATTCTTAATAGTTATAGCTCTTATTACTCTCTTAACCTTCTTAATGTGACTGTTACAAGTAATGTCTGTATTCTTACATACTCACCTCATTACATGTATACATTATAGGGCTTGAATATAGTGTGCTTTGCTAAGATGAAACAGATTTGGAGAAATCTTATTAACAAATTTGAAACACATACATTATAATGTATAGGAAAGTAAGACTTTTTAGGACTGTTTGGAAGAGTATTTCTACTTGCCTTTAACTAGTATACTATTCAATCTGCCTTCTGTGTTACAGGAATACATCCATTTAACCAGGATGTCATTTCTCCAGAACAGTTACAACTAAGTAAAGTTGGTTCTACATCCTCCTCCTTTCTCTTACTACTGTCTACTCTAGTCTATTATATTATGACTGTATTTTACTATCAGTCTCCAACAAGCTTTAATGTTAATGTATTAACACACTTACTAGTAACTACACCTTCTATATTGTTATCTTACATTCAAGACTGTTAAGACACTAGTTCTTATAATAGTAGTATTATTATACTACTACTACAGACCTATCTAGATACTAGCTCTTATAGTAGTAGTATTATTATGTTACTACAGGTTCCTATCATTAATCTAGCAATTGATCCATCCTTGTACACACTAACAAAACAAATGTGCTTAATATACTTATTACTAGTAATGTTAGTGTTTGAAAGTTTTCTAGTAAAGAAAGAACAACTTACCTTTTTAGAAACACTTTCACTACTTGTACTAGAGAAGGATCCTTCACATCTTGAAGATCCAGACTAGAAGCTTATAGACCTGTACTTAGATCAGTTAGTAGGACAAGAACTTAGAGTAGAAGTTAAGGAACTTACTAAGAACATTACTCAAACATGTTAGTACATTAAAATCAGTTATAGTATTATAGAAGGGGCTTAAGCACAGCTTGTTCTAGCCTCTCTTCTTAATGTTAGGCTTCAGAATGCTCTATACAAGAAGGAGAAAGGAAAAACAACAGAGAACTTACAAGTTTTTAATAATAGAATACTAAAGATTATAACCTTAGATAAGACTAGGGAAAAGCTTAGATAGAGGAAGGAGTTGAAAGATAAAGAGGAGAAGGAGGCCTATGTATAAAAGGAGGAGGCTAAAAGGAAGAAGGATGTTAATAATACAATCAAAAGTAAATAGAAACAAATTAAGACATACTATAATAAAGACTTTACTAAATAATATGATAAATACACTATATAGAAGGAAGAAGGGCTTCTAAAGGCTTACTAGAGCTCTAAACTATTTAGACTAACAAAGAAACAAGTCTAGGAGTGTCTACTATAAGAGAGGGGCATAGACAGTACTATATACAAAGAAGTAGTATCTAGATAAGGTGAATACAACTCAGACCTGTGTAAGTATAATAAACAAGGTTAGAAGTACACTTAGAGTTATAGATAAAGTTATAGAACAATTACACATACAAAATAAAGTAAGAGGAGTGTACTGAGAGTGAACATAAGAGTACAAGTTGAGAGTATAAGAGTGAGGAGGATGAATGTGTACTAGTGTAACACTGTGTTACAGAGTGTTCAAAGGAGTGGTTTTTGTAACAAATCCTCTCATTTTTACTACATTCATTTTAATTTTTCTACAAATCCTAATAGTCTGAAAAAATTCAGACATACTCTTATTACTATTTAATTCCTAATTACAGCTTAATTTTTCCTAATTTTTTGTGTAGAGTAAAATACAATCAAATTTAAAGTTGGTGTTCAAAGGAACAGTTAATAACTGTATTTGAATAAAGGAGATCTAATAAACCTGTGACTCTTTATACTGACACAAAGATTCTTCCTCAATTATATATTCACTAATAAACACTTTCAGACACCTGGTCCTACAACAGTAGCTACTACTATTGTAACAGTAGAACAGGACAGAATAGGCTCAACAAGTTTGGTTACAAGATTATGAGACTGTTTTAACATACACAAACTTCTTTAAAACTATATAAGCTTTAGATAGTATAAATCTCTCATGTACTAAACAAATAAAATGAGTATGTATACTGTCACAGTGTCCTATATAGTTGATTTAAGGCTATTTCACCTACTACTATTTGTTACAACTCTTGTACAGTACAAAAAAATATATTTATAAATTAAAACATCTTTTCTACAAAATGTTTGTTTTATTTTTGTAAAAAATAGTAAATTAAATATTTTATTAATTTTATAAAATGACAAGTCAAAAAGTGTCATTTAATGTGTCTGACCTATATGTGAACACTCTGTAGGAAAGGAATTTGCTACTATATCTATGTACATATTGTTATAATTCTCTACTCTTACACTTTCAGTTCTAAGAGTTCTACACCCTTCTGTACTAGAACTTAGGACTCCTGTCCCTTAAGAGTACTGTCTATAGACTATATGTAGGCTGACTCTTACTACTACCCCTTCTTACTTTATTATTCTGTTCCTTTGACTACCCCTTCATTCTTTGTTCCTTCTATAGTCTCTTACCCTTTGTCTATCCCTTCATTCTTTGTACCTTTGTCTTTGACCTTCCTTTCTTTCATTCTTCATAGCTTATCATTCTTAGTAGCTTACTATTCTCTGAGTACTCTTATATAGTTTAGTATATATAAGTGTACAAGATCAGACTAGTCTTATAGTCTTAATCTTGTCTACTCTAGATAGTTCTATACTCTTAGACTCACTCTATATACTCTACTCTTGTCTCACTCACTCACTCTGTCTGTTCTACAAGTTCTGACTATATTCTAGTACTTGTGTTCTGTATTTCTATTGTGTAAGATAGTTATAGCCTAGGTCCTCTTACTAAGTCTTTAGGTCCCCTCTACACTGTTACTAATATTAGATTAAGACTGTCTATTACTACTCTACAACTCTCCTATGTTTTAAGTATTAGTATGTACTATTGTGTCAATCTCTTTTCTTTGTCCCAACCCTTTTAAATTTTTAAATTTTAAACTTTCTAAATTCTTCTAAACTTTTACCACCCTTCTTCTATTCATTACCCCTTTTAGTTTAGTGTTGATTCCTTTGTAGTGTAAACATGAACCCTCCTATACTAACCACCACCCTTACTGTTCTACTAGATTAGCAGTTACAAGTAGACTTAACTTAATATGTACAGACCTTTATTTAAGAGACCTTTACTAACTATGTACTCCCAGCCCTCTCAGAACCTGTTCTGATTGTTCTAGAAGTTACAACCTGTTCTAGAAAGAAAGTGTATGTAACTCACCCTTTAGACTTTAATAGGTAGCACTTTAAGGACTTCTAGTACTAAGTTAAACTATACATAGTTACTACTTTGACCAATCTATTCTTAGACCTTAATTGTGTCTTATTTATCCTCTCCTTTATAAAGGAAGGCAATACAGCCACCTGGGCTCAGAACTAGATTGAAGGACATTGGATTAGAAGCCTAATCTGACTTTAGAATAATGAGTCATACTTAGAATTTATAGGACAGCTCTGTACTTTCTTCATTAATCTAAATAAGAAGTACAATGTACAGAACAAGCTTGTGTCTCTGTAACAGGGCAAACATTCTACTAATACCTTCTTTCAGGAGTTTGATATCCTGGCCTAGAAGGTAGGATTTGTACTCAGGTTCAATAATGTTCTTATTAGAATGCTTGAAAAAGCTCTTTACTTAGAACTAGTCAATAAGATTCTCAGAATAATGTTAGAACTGATCACTTACACTAATTAGAAGATGTGTGTTATTTCCTTCAACTAAGCTGTAGCTTAGATGTGTCAAGTCTGTACAGAACACTTATACATGTGTCTAACTCTAACAGTTCTGAGTTCTTAGATTGATTCACCTGTAATTTACAATCAATCTGTTCTAATAGATATTAGAGAAGCTTAAAAGTAAGGAGTATACTTTACTTATAGAAAGTCAGAACACTAGATTAAGGACTACTTATAGAAGTAATAGTATATCTGTCAGGTTATTAGAGTAATAATGAGTAATAAGTAGGATTTGTAGTAAGAAGCCTTTTCTACAAATCCAGAAGTCACCTCAGAACTCTTAGACTCTGACTATATACTCTAGGATTTTGTAGAGGCCTAACAGTAAATGTAGTACTGAAGGGTTATGACTTAGATTTTTTAACAACCACTTTTGATTTAATAAATACTGTAGGATTAGAAGTAAATAAAGTAAGAAAAGTAGAAAAAGTAAATTAACAAAATTATTTATTAAAAAGAAAAAAGTCAAAAACAAAAGTAGATAGTTCTCTTATTTCTTCTGATTCTTTCAATTCTTCTCTTTGTACTCTATCTGAGTCTAAATCTATACAATCTGACCTACTACTTTAGTATTCTAAGAACTCAGAATGTTCAGAACACTATCTAGCCCTGTTTACTACTTAGTAGTTTGTCTGTAATATTAAGTAGGGATAGTCTTAGCTGAGTTCACAGTTGAGAACATAGGTTTGTCCTTGTTGAAAGAGAGAGGTTAATAAGGAAATGTTAGTATATATACTCACCCTCTTAGACAACAAAGCTGTACAAGCTGTACATTCCCTTTAGAACAAGTAGCAATTTATTAGAGGATGTTCTAAACACTAGCTCTAAGTCCCTATCCTCTTGACTCCCTTCTTAGAATCCCTCCAGATCCAAACAATAGCTCTAGTAGATAGTAGATACACTAGTTCATACATTAATAAGGTCTTTATGTAGGAACACTACCTCCCTACTCAACATGTTCTACTTCTAATCCTAGTATATAATGTAGACAGAACTCTGAACCAGAATGGTCAGATTACTAAGTTTGTCTAACTACAGATAACTATTCAGGATTATAAGGAAAGTATTGAGTTTAGAGTTACTAACCTCAGAAAGACAGATGTCTTTATTAGGTTCAAATAGCTTAAGGCTCACAACCCTACTATTAACTAGTTAAAGTAGACACTTGTGTTCAATTAGTGTCCTAAGTCTTACAACTATCTTGTA